TTATCCACATTAAGATTGTTCAGGCAGGATATTATTTATAGTCAGACATTTGCTTATCCTAGCATTCTGAATCGTAAAAATCCAACAAGCTTAAAACAAGCTATGAGGCAGCTATTCATGCAAATGCAATTAAAAATGTTTGCTGGTACTTAGATTTTTGCTAATAAATTCTTTCATAAACTTTCAAACAAGATAATAAAATTGCACTGAGCTCTGCTGTTGCTCCTCTCCAGGCTGCTTGTAAACTCCTATTTGTTTAGATGCCTTCCCTACCTCTATCGGCTTCCTCTTTTTTTAGTTTCTTTCCCTCCTTTCCTTCTTCCCTCTTTTCTTTCTTTCTCCCTTTCCTTTCCCTCTTTATTCCTTCCCTTTTCCTCACTTCTTTTTCTTTCTTTCCTTCCCCTCCTGGGACAGGAGCAGCTCATGAGCAATGTGATGCAGGTCCTAACAGAGCTAAATACAGTTGATCTTCACCTGCTTCACAGCTCACTAGGGTACCCCTGCAGTTTACTCATAGTGCTAAGTAGGTTTGAGTTTCCTGAGGAAGGGGAGCTCTCAAAGAGCTTTTATTTTATTTTATAAAAAATACCCTCCCTGTGAGAGAAACCAGGAGTTTTTGCAATGAAGTACTGCCTCTGTTCAAAGCTAGGCAGCCCTGATCCAAATTTTGTTGCAGTATTTGGCACTGTGCAGATTTTGATACCTTTCTGGCATGTTACTGGACTTGCTCCAACTAAATTCACTGATGTGTATGTGTGCTGCTGGGTGAACTGGGTAATGAAGTTTTCTCTGGTTTTACTTCTGCACTTTGACAGCCTAAATCCTTGGATGGGATGAATAAACAAAACCAACACAATTTCAAGGTAGTTGAAAACAGTATGCTTTTTTGAAGAGAAAAAACATAGTTAAAGTTTTCATAAATGTTAAAGAGCGTGGGTAGTTTTCTCTCATGACTGTTGCTTTAGACAAGAGGTGGCTTTTTCTTTTCCTTTCTCTAGTCAAAAAACAAACTTTTTTTATCAGTGTTCCTCTGATCATAGTCTGTACTATAAGACTTAAGGCACTGGTGCTCTCCACACCCATGAGAAAGCTTTTGCCACAGATGAGCTGTTGTACATTTTCCAACATACCTCCCTCCTCTGCATAGAGACACTAACAACTAAACATCTTGGATTCTAGAAAGAATGTAAGCTTCAGCCTAAACCAACTGAAATGGGGCACTCTGACACCACTGTGTGGTCCTCATAATCTGTGTTATCCTGTAACATCTTGAGATGACCTTTTTGCACATACCTGATCCCTTCTTTGCCATTTAACTCCTTCTTAGTCAGATCCACTTCATTTCTGAAAGAGTTGTGACACCTCAGGACAGCCCAGGATCCAGGAGTTGTATCCTTCCTCTTGCATCCTGTCTTTCTAGAACCTCTGGAGCTCTTCTTTTTGGGATACTAATTTTGTCTTCATTAGAGTAACACTGTCAGTATCACAGCCCAGAGGCAGACTCATAAAGATCATACAGGGGTGAGATGCTTCTTTTTGTTTCTTAAGATGCTTCTTTTTCATTTGCTGTTGGCTTGACAAATACCCAATTTCCATTTGTTCAGAAAGCTGACCATTCTATCACTTGAAATGTTTTGGCTTCTCCTTCCAAATCAATTCAGTGAATACCATTCCTGACACTCTAGTCCTCTGTTATTCATTCAGACACTGTGAATCTCCAGCTCTGCAAGCATCATTTGACTTGCTATTTGTTTTTTATACTCTTAGTGCACACTTCCCTCTGCAGGAAAATTGAAGTCAGTAGCAGCTGTAGCCTGTGGCAGCACTGTACAACCTGAAGTGTTAATTCCTACAGTTAAATCTACACAAATGGGTACTTGATTATGGCCAGCTGCTCTTGTGTTGTTGTCATGTTTTGAGTATTTCTCCATCAAGGTAATTCCAATGAGTTTCACAGATTTTCATTGGCTCTTGAGAGCAAATAAGTACCCTGCCAATATCCACACAGAATATTCTAGCTCTGGTTGAAACTGTTTATCAATATTAACCTCCTTGTGATGTTAGATGAGAGAGGCTGGGGGGAGGGAGAGAAAGAACACCTCTACGTCAGTAATACTCGGCCACAACTTTCTAAAGGAACTTGCCTTCCTGCCTGAATTGTAACATACAGACCTGCCTCAGTGAGCTGCAGCCATTCTGAATGCTCCTGGCTCTTGCACTGGAAGCTTCTATCACTGTCACAAAATAGTTGGCACAATCAGAAACTAAGTCCTGTGCCTGAATGACTTGCCCTCCCCATCTAAAAATGGCAACATTCTGCCTATCCACCACCAGCGTAAAAGTACGGAGTATGATCACTAGAATTTGATCTGTACAGACAGTACTGTACTCAAGGGGTATTGCTCTGTGTTATTCACCTCTTTCAAGTCTAAAACTTCATCTGCTACCTTAGCTAAAAGCATCACTGCATTGTCAAATTGTGAGACTAGAACTGAGACAGTCTGCAAAAACAAGATAGTTCTTCTTGAAAATACACAGGTGCCCTCACACTTCTTGAAATTTCACCCACCTCTGAGCAATACATAAGATATTCTTCCAATTCTATGCATGTATTTGCACTTGAGAGTCCTAAAAATTCTGCCTGCTTTGTCGGTGGTTGTTCAATTATTCTGTGTGTTGCTTACATTTTTGTAGACAGAAAAGCCTCTGTACAAGACAAGGACAAAACTAGTAACAATTAAGCCCTTCTGCATGAAGGTCAAAGCTGTGTCAGTTGGATGGAACGCCATTTAAGCAAAAACTAAGCTGCTACTGAAATATACTTGAATAATTTTTGCCAAATAATGGCTCTCCATTGCAGTTTTGCAGTAGCCTATGCCTGTATGGCCATGTAGTTTTGGAAAAGGCCAGCTCTCACTATATGTGCCAGGCACCATTCCTGATACCCTGCTGGCATCTTTATGGCTTGAGTGCTCCTTTCACAAGGTGATGTAGGCTCTGCCACCTGCAGATGTTATAGGTTTTAGTTACATTAATACCAGTGTAAGCAGGTCACGCTGTAGTGGAAATGCCAAGTCACAGTCTGAAGCAGTGATCGAGCACCTGGTGGGAAGGCAGGGCCAATCCATGGCAGCTCAGGTGCACGCAGTGCACATGAGTGACTGGAAGGGGTGAAGGATGCTCTAAATGACTACTCTAAATTTTGTCTTGGCACTTTTGGCCTACTAGGGTTCTAACTGCAGGACACTTGCAGCTACCGCTGCTAAACCATCATTTGTTTTTCTTCCCTCTCCTGTTAAGCTGAAGAACAAACAGCTTGAGGAGATGTTTACCTGGTCATTATTGTTATGAACAGCAGCTGTATGAAACAAATCAGAGAGAAATGATACCTGTAAAACAACTGACTTCTTGAGTGCTGCTTTTACCTCAAGATTTTTAACCTAATGATCACCAGCTGCCTTGCTTTTTCATGTCATTTTCTATTTGAAATAATGTTGTATGAGTTTAGCAGTTCCCATCATTGGACAGTACACTGGCTGCTGGTGACAAATGGCCTTAGTTTTCCCCATCCTAACAAAAAAAAAAACAAACAAGGGTTGGGAGACTTCGGCTGCCCACAACCCAGTTGCTGCCCAGCACTGGCTTAACCACCTGTCATCAATGCCACAAGGCTGTAATAATGCTTTTTAAAAGCAAACAGAAGAAAAAAGTAAGATTAAGGATCAGTCTTTCTTACATAGGGCAAGTTTTTAAATGAAGTGAGCTTAGTATGAATCACATGCACACAACTTTGTTCTAAATGACCTCTACTTCCACAGGGCCTTTATTTGCTACAGCAAGCTTAAAGCAGGCTGCTTCTATTATGGTTATGTGTATAAATATGCACAGCTCTGCTTTTTGTCACAATTCTTTTAGAAGCAATACATGGGATTTTACAAAAGGCTAATAGTCTCTGGTGAGACTTTTATAAATATGGAAAATATACTCATGTTTTTAACACTAATTATGGAGACTGTTAGTGATGTACTCTAAACTTCCAAAAAATGCTGAATGACAGTAACCAAGTGCTGCTGCTGCTTCAGCTGCTTTTCTTACAACTTTGTTCTGATCTGGAAAACAAAGACCAAACAATGACTTGTGGCTGAAGGCTGTGCATAGCTCACATCTTCCCTGTTCTTGTTCCACTGACGCATTTGGTCATGCTTGTGTACAGTCAAACTTACAAGAAATACTTCAAATAATTGTGAAGGTACCTGTCCACACTAGTAATGATGGGAATTCCTGGCTTGCAGCAAACTTGATGGTTTTTTTTTTTTTTTTTTTTTTTTTGGCACCATAATCCTTCAAAATATGGGGCAAGTTACAATCCAAACAGCCCGAGGCTTCCTGCAGTACTGGCTAGCCCTTCACCCCCACCAGCCACAGACAATACCCAAATGAACATGCAGCTTCACTTTATTTGGGACAGAGCTCCCTTAATTAGCCAATAGCGCCATGTACACCCAAACTTCTGTAAGAAGGAGAGAACACTGTTTTATCAAGATCTTCTTGCACCTGTATTTTCGAGGTGTCTTTAAAGATGCCTATTTGAAAACCTTGCAATAAAAACATGGAACTCAGAGCAGACCAAAAGAAAGCTCACTGCAGCAATCTGCAAACTGCAATACTCAGGCTGAATGGCACAAGGACTTGGAAATTAGTTCTCCCATCCCTGTCAGCATAATGCTGAGTTATTTTACCCAAACACTGTTGGTTTTATTTTTTCTTTGTCTTGGTCTCAGGGGATTTAAATATGAAATAAAGCAAGCCTCCTCTTTCTTCCTCCCACATGAGCTTCATAGGAAACAGTAAGCCACCAAATTCAACTTCATGTTCAGCAAAGCACTTCAAACTGGAGCCTCTGGCCAAAGCTTCAACTACAAAAAGCAAAGTGAATGCTACAGAGTCAGTTTGCAAATGTTCTACATGTAAAATTCTAGTATTCAAGTACACACACCAAATGCTAACAGCATGAATTTAATGTCCAAATTCAAATGAAGAAGTAAAATACAGTATTAAACATTAAAATTCACAACGCTTGTAACAACTATGTAGCTATCATTAAATATAAATAACATTTAGGTAGATCAAAAAAGGCAATATATTGATGAAACATCCAACTGTAATGTTTGACTGCATTAAGAAAAGTTATTCAACTTAAAGCACTCAATTGCATTGTTTTCTATCTACTTTTTTCCTCCAACCAGCTTTCCAAGTTTAAAAAAAAAAGCTTACAACATCACTTGTACAGGTTGTGTCATTATATCCTTAGTCTTGATCAGGAGCTGAAAGCATTTACCCAGTTTTAAAGGAGACAGATCCACTTTTGAAACAAAGTAAAAGAAACAAAATTAATGACATCTCTTTAGAAGGAAACGTTTGTAGGAAATGTTCTTCCTATAAAATGTGTGCTGTTACAGAAGCAAATCTTTGTGTGGTATTTCATACTACAGCCACTAACAGAAATATCAGGAGTTGCTTTTGCTTGAAAAGGCAGCACTGGCAGCACTGGCTTTTAAATGTGTACTTAAGATTACTTGCAACACAATCTTAAAAAATACTCTGACTGAAATTCATAATACAAGTGGGCAGGAGTCATACTAAACTGTTTCAACACTAAAAAGAGGCTACTGTTGTAGAAACTACTATAGGTAATGAAATCTTTTAAGCAATTACCTTTAAAACAAATTTAATCTAAGTAAAACAATTTTTTAACATTGAATTGCACTCATCTTCCAAAGTTTAAAACACGTCCTTTTGAAAAATCCTTCAGCAGGTAACATGAGATCTGAATTTCCAGTAATCACGCAGCAGTGTGGTATTCTTCCTTTCGTGGCAAGATTCAAAGTAACAACTACCAAATTTTTCAACTGCTCAACTTCAGGGCAATTCAAGCTGAGTTAGGTGTACAGCTGTCTGCAGAAGAGGAAAAAAGAGGGGGGGAGGAGAAGAAAAAGAGACAATTTCAGCACGCATACTGCATTACCTATTCAAAGATGGACTTAAGGATGTAACAAAGCATTTGATGCCTCATCCCACTGCTGCATTCTTTCCTCTGCCCCCCAAGATCAATTGAAATCCTTAAGTAAGGTTTTCAGTCAACAGTTTAAGCAACATCAGATAGGACCTCACAGAAAACAGAATTATAAATTGAGAGCTTAATTTCAGTTTCTTTTTCCCTTTCATTATGTAAGTTTCTAGCAAGCTTATCCTGAAATAAAGTTCTTTGGTCCCGAAGACTTTCTCAGACCCTATCTTTAACAAACAAGCTTTAAAATAGTGACCCTTTGCTTCACCTTCCCTGAAAGCAACGTATTAATGAAGACTATTTTAATATGTATATTAGATCCTTGTTTTACTACAGTTTAATTTGTTACATCTAACAGTCCGAGCAGCAGCCTTTCATATTAAGCCTTTTGACTGAGGTGTACATCTGCTACTAAGAACCAAGTTCTGCCAGATGTGCTTCGTAAACTGTCTTCAACACAATCAACTGACCAGAAAAGGGCACTAAACCCACTTCTAGTTTGAAGTGACTGACTCAATTCACTCAGCTTATTTTATATACACACATGGTCCAACCTCGTTCCGTCTTTCCTTTTCTTCAAGTTCTCCTACCTACCACAGGCTCAGATTTAAAAGTTTGCATTCCCTGACTGCAAGCAGCAGGACCAGAAAAATGATCTGATCTTCAGGACAAATCCTGGGTGAGTAAGATTAGAAGCTTCCAGCAGCAAAGTTAACATTAAGCACTGATTTAGCACTCCCTTATAAGCTTTTAAGTCCAGTCCCATGACACTAAAACAGTAATCCCCATTTTAAAAATGAAAGAGGCCTCAGCAGTGACAGATATCCACACTTACTGAAATTCATTACTTAAATTTCTGCAAATCAGGGAAGGAATGCAGTATTTCTTTTACGTGGAACTGGCTGCCCCGGGAAATAGTCCAAATAGCACTGCAATCAAACTCCAGTTCTTAATATAAATCTGAACTTGGAAGCTGGAACACTGAGTGATTCTAAGTATATAAAACATAATTCCTTTTTTGCTTGTATACATCACGACAATTGACACCATCAGGCGGGTCTATTTTAAAATAATGCAGTATCTATATACCCATAAAATAATACCCATGCAATTGCATGAACCAAACAGAAGCACGATTTCACAGACAGCATACTAGAAAGACCTGCTCCATTTCCATACTGGAAAACATACTGCTCCATTTCTGAGGGAAATTTCTGCTAAAAGCTGACAGCACCAAGGCGTCAGGCAGCATCAAGAGACCAATTTGAAGTGAGATTCAAAAACAACAAAAGACAATCTCATCTTTGAGAGATGTCTCAATTTTCTTTCTGTTCTGTTCCCTTCTCCTCTCTGCGCCGTGGAACAGTGAGGTGTCCCCTTCTGGAGCTTCAGCACATGGCCACGCTCCACTTCTTCCCTTCTCTCAACTGCACACCTACACTCATCATTTCCTCATATTTCAACAAACCCGATTTTTTGTTTTTAAACTTTCTTCCTCTGTTCATCTTTCAGTGAAACTCGAAGTCTGTGTTTTACTCGGGTCATTTTCAAAATATCCAGGTGACACCAAGTGGAAGGTTGTTGTACTGCTGTCTGTTCAGGACTACTGTATATGGCAACAAGCAAGTACAGTTACTTCAAAACACAAATCCCTTTTTAAAAGCAGTGCTTTGCACTAGGTACAGGAGATCACTCATGTAATTAGTGGGAGACTATCCAGATTTTAGGTATCTTGTAACAGTGCTGATTAAAAAAAACCTGCTGTTTTACCTTACAGCAGAGTAAGAAGAGTTCAATACATACTTCTAATTTTTTTAAGCTTGTTTTCATTCTAGATTTGCCCACAGCTGTGAATAGTCATTCTCAGACCAACAGCCTCCTGTAGTTGTTCCTGCAATTCTTTCCTGTACTTTCTGAGTACAGGAGGAAAAAATCAGTTTGTAAGAGTAGCTGTAAGCCACAAGATGGGTAGATATGCATGGCTGAGCACAGAATGTGAAGCTGCCACTGCTCTCGTTTAAAGAACAAGCTAAGCTCTCATCCCTATTTCCAGTTTAAAAATCTTCTTGCATTTGGGGTTACACAGGTTATTAAAGGTACAACTCTAAAAAGAAACAGGCACTAATGTTCACAAAACCTGGTGCAGCTTTTATAAATAAAATTTTAATGTTTTGTTATTAAAAATATATAATTCTCTTCACGTTGACCATTAGCCTCTTGGAGGTGACCAATTCATGCAAACTGAACAGATTGCTGCTGAAGTGAAGACAGTGCATTAGGCTTTGGGTTTCAGAGATTCCTTCTCTTCTAAGACCTTTTGGGCATGCAAAATCAAAGACAATGAGAAACAGGATTCTACACACTAAGAAAAGGATTGCTTTCGTTTCACAGTCAAGTCTAAATTAAGTCTGCTACAAACTGCATTTAAAACAAACAAACAAAAAAAAACACCATAAAAAAAAATTCACTGCAGCACAAAGAAAATTCCAGAATAATTGCTTAGTGATAGTATTAGGAAGAAAAGAGTATCAACACTATCTTAACAGTTTGCTATCCAGCAGTACCTTTTCCAACCCACTAAACAGGAGAGAAGAGTGGAAAAAATTGAGAGCACAAGCAGGGGAGAGGAGAGGAATATAGCAGGTATGGCTCTTCAACAACCTTAAGATCTGTTTACCTAAGCTCTTAAATTCTGATTTCTTCTAGAATGAAGCTTGATCAAATGAAGACCACAACCACTAATACCTAGAAATCAGTTCTGTGTTTTGGATGCTTCAGTATTACAGAAGAACTGAAAAATACCGAGCAGGAACTAGATGTCAAATGGAACATCTTACCTTATTCATTTCTACGGAGCAGCAGCAGTAACGTACTGTCAGCAATTTAGTGACCGCTTTCTCAGTTATGAAAAGCTTTTATCACAGGAACTTATAATATCAAAAATATCTTCTTATAGTAGGCACATTGACTTTAAGATAACAAATGTGAGCGAAGATATCCAAAAATAGATGCAGAGAACAATGTTAAATAAACTCTCCTAGCTTTGGTTCTTAGGAACTACTCAAAAGCACTTATGCTTACCTAGATGCAGAAGTGCCATCTGCGCTGCCAATTCCCTCGCATCTTCCAGTGTGGTACAGAGTTTGTGTGACATGAAGCAGCTCTGCGAACCATCTGCAATACTCGGAAGAAGCACCTTGCACACCAAATGGATTTTCCCATCCTGACTTGTGGTTGAGTACAAGTAGTATTCTGGTGGCAACCAGTTATTTTTGTAGCAAAAGTAATCCAGACGCATCACAGCAGAACTGAAGTAACTGGATTTTAGAGAATACATGCTAATTGGAATAAGCTTTACTCCTGGAAGAAATGGGTATGGATACCATTCAAGTTCAGGAGAGCTCGGACTGTGCTGACCATTAAGGCTGAGAGAAAGACTTGCAGGTTTCTCTACGGATTTTTGGTGACTGTCTTCTCTGCTAGGAATTTCCATGAGATTCTCAGAACAGGGGCTTACATGACCATTAAGGTGTTGCTTCCAAGTACTTTCTTTGTTAACTGGCTTTGCCAGAGTTACTTCGATGCTGGCTCCATCAATGCACTTTCCATTCATCACAGACATGGCAGCAACTGCATCCTCTCGGTTGTAGAAATGCACAAACGCATAGTCTCTCAACTTCTTTACACGTTCAACTACTCGTGGCTTGAACTTGTTGAATTCAGCTTTAATTGTGTCCTCCGTAGTAGAAATCATTAAGTTTCTTACATACAATACTTTAACTCTCCGCATTGTTTCTGCATCAACTTCTTTCTCTGGGCATGCCCAATCGACTTGAACTGCACGACCCCAGAGCTGGAACGTTCCTACAGCAAAGAAGGACAACATCAGTAAAAAAAGATGAAAACAACAATCATTCTTATACACTAGCTTTAGAAAAAGCAAACAAATATGATGTGTAACACGTGGAACAGCAGCGTTTGTTGTCTGCTTGTACTTAAGCAAAATGTGTCAGAGACTACTAGCCGAAACAATGAACGAAGTAAGTGGCAAAATGCAACCTTACAACCCCTTGTGTGGACGGGAGTCACGCTGCCCAGTTTCCTTTTTAACTTCACCTTTACCTATTCCCTCCTCTTTCAATACTTTCAATCCCTTCTACTTTCCATTCCACAAATAAGCCCCTTCCAAAACGATACGCTTAAAATGGTTTTCTAAAAAGGGGCTCACACCCCTTCACCTCTACTCCCCCAAAAACACCGTCCTCCAAAACTTTTCTTGAACACAGATTTACCTGGGAGTAGCCTCCTTCTAGCCATTGCAGCTGCTCTGTGGGACTCATATTCTACAAAAGCAAATCCACGATTTTTAGTTCTGTCTGTGGCATCTGGACAAACAATGACATCCACCACTCCTTCTGTAATTCTTTTCATTTCTTTTAGTATTTCTTCTTTCTTCTTTTCTCTTGGAATTGCTCCGATAAATAGTCTGCAGTTGTCCAAGCTTATGCAGACACCAATAAATCTCCCTGGACGAATTTCATAATTATTAAGAATCTTGATGGCTAGCTGGGCATCCTCTTTAGTGGTGTACATCACAAAAGCAAAGCCTCGATTCTCACCACTGAATTCCATCATCAGCCTGAGCTCATAGATCTTTCCAGCTCTCTCGAAAAGAGGGACCAATTCATCTTCATAAATGTTACGAGGGATCTTACCCACAAAAACTTCACACCCACGAGGTGGTGGAGGACCTTTCCAACCTTAAAAAGTTCAGCAAAAAAATCTTAGGACAAGTATCACAGTCACACCATCACACAACACACTTTGGCTATCAGTTGTTGGTTTTTAACTGCTGTATTTGTATCTTTTTAGATTTTGAAAGCTTAAATACTAATTGTGCTAACAGAATCTTTAACATTCATCTGCTTCTTTCCCTTGAACTTGTATGACAAGCCACTGCAACCAGCATTACTTAAAACAGTGTTTTAAATAGCAACAAGTCAGTTGCAAGAGTCCGCATTTAAATCATTTTTTACTTCTCAAAACTGCCTGATACATATTCATACATCAAATGTAATTGCTAGAGAGAGAACTTGCTGTATTTTCTACTTGTAACATTGGGAGTTACAAACATTTACCTGCACTTCTTGCCCATTTTTTAGGAAGTTTTAGTCAGAGTCCCCAGTGCCTGTATTTTTTCCCCCCAATGCCATTCAAAAGGTCTGAACATTTTGGTTCCACCTTCTCCGTTCATCCACTATAAAAAGACACCCTACGAAGGTACAATATGGGACAATCTTTTTTTTTCAGTGGCCAAAAACCATGAGCATTTTTCCTCTTAAAAAGAGATCAGTTTTCACAGGTTGGAGCCATATTCTCCAGGAAAAAAAGTAATAATACAAAGTTCCACAGAACAGATCAGTGCTTCTGGCCCTTCTGGTCCTCAAGGATATGCCTGAACATATGTGTATGGTCCTTCATTTACATCTCTGCCATACGCACTGATAGACATGTTCAATAATGCCATCCTAAACTAGAAATAAAGCCCAAATTCAGCATGAAAGATTATAACTATTTTAATAAGTTAAGGGTAGAAGTAGATAAACCCACCTTCCAGAGTTCTCAAGATCAAAAATAAAAAAGCCATCAGGTTCAACAGAGAAGTAGTGGACCAGAAAGCACATTCCTGACATACACAGAAATACAGCATAGCTATCCTTACAGAAAACATACTTCAATTTTATTACCTCAAAAAAATGCTTACCTGGTGGAGGCCCACCAAATTTTCTTTGCCCATTTTCTTGAATCATGGTGTACCCAGTCTTGTCTAGTAGGGCCAGTAAGGCAGCAGCCTGATTACCACCTCTCATTTTGCCAGATTCACTTGTTGCAGCTGAACTCTCCTCATTCATGTCTGCAATAGCTTCAATAGAACATTATGGACATTTCAACTCAGATACTTAAAAGCTGCTGTTTACATACAGGAGCCACAGGGGCACAGAAACACGCACCATAGTTGGCTATTTCCTGTAGTTAAGGGTAGAAGTAGATAAACCCACCTTCCAGAGTTCTCAAGATCAAAATAAAAAAGTCATCAGGTTCAACAGAGAAGTAGTGGACCAGAAAGTACATTCCTGACATACACAGAAATACAGCATAGCTATCCTTACAGAAAACATACTTCAATTTTATTACCTCAAAGAAATGCTTACCTGGTGGAGGCCCATCAAATTTTCTTTGCCCATTTTCTTGAATCATGGTGTACCCAGTCTTGTCTAGTAGGGCCAGTAAGGCAGCAGCCTGATTACCACCTCTCATTTTGCCAGATTCACTTGTTGCAGCTGAACTCTCCTCATTCATGTCTGCAATAGCTTCAATAGAACATTATGGACATTTCAACTCAGATACTTAAAAGCTGCTGTTTACATACAGAAACCACAGGGGCAAAGAAACACACACCATAGTTGGCTATTTCCTGTGACTTCAGTGAGCAGCATAAAGCTGCAATCCTATGTGCAACTGGTATCATCTATGTACTTGATTTCAAAACATAGCAGTGAACTTTAACCAGCAACTATATATTCCATACTAAAGTTTTAATTTTATACAAGTCACATCACAGCTATTTTATAAATATGCTGTCTCTTCAAGTACAGTAGTGGATTACTTCATAAAGCTTGTCTCAGTTGTAAATGACCTAAATGCCATCTGCAGTGACAAAATCCACTCCCTTATCACTATATTTTACAGAAGCACCAGCGATTTTAAAACTGGGTATAAGTCCAAAGAAAACTTCCGAAATGCATTATGTTAATCAATTTAAAGAATTCAAAGAACTTAGTGACAAAAATAATTTACATGAAATCAGTATTTAATAAAACTTGGTGGAACTGTCTGTCAAAACTAAGGGACTGGGATTATTCCACTTCTGAGTTCCTCATTTTCATGCTCTTATCCACTTTCATCATGTTGGACTCGAAGATCTCTGGAGGCCCCTTCCAACCCCTACGATTCTGTGATTCCGTGAAAGCTAAGGAGCTTTACCAATAGAGTTGTTACTACTATGTCCACTATTTGATGGCATGTGAAGATCTCCTTTGGTTACTGTCATCTAGGTCACGGGGAACAAATCAGACCGAGAAGCCTATACAGTAATTTACGAACTTTTCTAGTCAATTAAAAAAAAATAACTTTAAAGTCAGATTCCTTTTCAAGGCCTTTCTTTCTCTCCTTGCCCTGTTTTCTATTCCCAAATTTTCTGCCTTGAGGTCTGCAAGACTTAGACAGGCAATCTTCAACACTTCAATCCCTTGCCCACATCCAAGCATATGCTCTTTATTCTCCAAAAAAATAATTAAAAAAACAAAACAAAACAAAACATGAGACACCTACATAGACATCATCTATAACTCCTTTTTTTTTTTTCATAACATCCCTTATATTTTAAACTTGCTTTATCAACAATAAGTTGAAGGTGAATTTTGCTTCACTAAGCAAAATCCTGAGGAACTCCCCACCTCCCTGGCAGTTACAATCCCATCCACTTTCTTCAGCCTGAAGCACAGCCGCTTGCTCCTCTTCAGCTTGCTGCTCTTTCTGCCCCTCACTGAGCCTTTCCTTCTGGCCCCATCGCACAAATACACACCGCTCTCTGCACAGCCTACTTCACACCCGCCTACGTGGCTTCCCAGCGCTGCCGGCCCCAAGCATCGCCACAACAACGCCGCACACCGCACACAACGCTGTCCCCCGCCTTCCGGCCTCCCGCTGAAGCCAGCACCCAGCCCCGCGGCACTTAGAAGCCCTACATCTCCCTCTGAAACCCTCCCGCGCCTCAGGCTACAGTCAGCCTTTAGAAATCGGCAAGAGGTTTTCACAAGACTCTACGCTATATTTACTTCTTTTTTTCTTCTTTTTCCCTCACCCCACCGCTCGGCGCAGCACGGCGCCGCCCGGCCCGAGCCCGCGGCCTAGCGGAGCTGGGCGGCAGGTGTAACTGCCGGGAGGCAGGAGCCAATCAGCGCCGGGCTCACAGCGGGGCACGGCGGGCGAGCGCTTTTAAAACGGGCGGGCGTTGGCTGAGGGAGGGCTGTCAGCGCGCGGCTGCCCCTGCGGCTCCCTCTGCAGCCCGGCCTGAGGCAGCGGAGCGGCTGCCGCCGTCAGAGGTTCCCCCTGTCTTCCGCACGCTCCCATCCCAGCTCCTGAGCTGCCATCCAAGTGCCTTGGGGTCTGAGCAAATGGAAGACGCTCACAGCCAAAATGCACTCATTGAAGACTTCTCCTCATGTACATCTTCCTTAAGCTGTAAAGGCAGAAGTGTTCTTCGTCAGCTAGAGAATCCCGAAAAACTACAAATATGCTCCTGAGCTTTTAGACGTGTATTTTTAAAGATGTACCACCAGAAATCTGTATTTCAGCACAGCGTGTCAGATACTCGCTATTTCAGCTTGCTTGGTTTTTATTTTCAAAGAGGAAGCTTTACTGTCTTTTTTAATCAATAATGGCTTGACACACTAATTGTTTTACAAATGATGTCTCGAGGTAATAGTGTGAATGGCCAGAATTGCTATTACCTTCAAGATTAAGGTACTCTTTTCCTTTCAGGTTATCTGATGGCTTATTGTTGTTTTTTACGGTTTCTAATTCAGCTGTGAAATCTCTAATAGGAACGAGTTTTGGGAGTGCCTTACAGTAAATGAAGTTTTGGGTGTTTGGCTGCAGCTCCGTGTCCTTGTTGCCTTGGAGCCTGCTCGCTTTCTAGTAGAAAACCCTATGTGCTCAGTTGCTACTGCTTGTGGAGAGAGCTGACAGAACGCAGACAGCAGCCTCTAATGAAAAACCTCTCACTCCTTTTCTCTGTGTTTCACCTATGTGACATCCTATGGGCAGATTACTGCTGGCTCTTGAACAGCTACCCAGCTGGAAATTTTAACTCATTGCAGTAATTACTGTCAGCAGCTTTCAAGGAAACACACAACTTTGCTGTCAGGTTTTTCTCTTTATGACGTGACAGAAATAAAATATCCAAAACGAGGTTTGCTTTGTTATTTCTTGTTAAACATCAAAGTCAGGCATAGGAACTAAAGATTCACTAGATTTTCTTGCTGACCTCTAGCCCTATTTAAAAGAAATTAAGATCCACAGGTGCTAATTGGGTAGTACAGCTCTCATTTTCCTCTTCTCCACAGGTGTTTGCTGTTTGTTTATTTCTCTCTGGCAATTGTTTGGTGTATTTTTTACTGAGAACAACTGTTTCTAACCTGTATTTGTCTCAGATTTTGCCACAGATTATCAAATGTGATAAAGTTTGAGCTGAATGTTTTCATGTGCTTTTTGTTGTTGTGGTTTTTTTTCTCCAATAATAAGGCAACGTTTACAGGGAATGCAGTATTCAGCGGTGTACCTCATAGCCTCAGGTCTTACAAACAGAGATTGCACCCGTGAAAGCATCTCATGACTAAAACAAAGCCATTTATTGAACCCAGACTGCATTCTCTGAAACACTGCTTTGCCTGTAGTGGAAGCAGAAGAATCCTCACCAAACCAACCCCTCAGTCAGTCATTTAAAAGTTAGTTAATTTTGATTATTTATGCAACATGCAGTTGTGTTAAGTAAGTTGGAGTAGTTGGAGGGGACAAGACTTCTCTATTCCTCCTCCACACAGGCGCTTCCTGCAGCAGATTCTACCTTGTTTTTATGTCTTCCCCTTTCTCTCACGTAGGACTGGACTGCATTGTGCATTCAGAGACGCAGCTCATATATCATTTGGAAAGCTGTGATAGAAGAAGGCTGATTAACATGCTAATAGCCATTTCTAGCAGTGACAGCTGCTCCCAACAAAGTGTTATTTCTCTCAGTTATAACAACGCTTTCCCTCCATAGAGAAATGCCATTCATCTAAATTAATGTCAAGTTTTGATTCACTTTTTTTTTTTTTTTTTAATGAAGATGTAGTAAAGCATAGCAAAAAGGGACCAGGTTCAGAAGGATGTTATTTATCAGAGTACATATTGCTTTACTGCTTCATTTAATTGGTACCTTACTACATACCTTTTTAACTTATGAACCTGATAAAGGCTAGTTCTCTGGTGGGTTATTTTACAAGAGTTCTAAGTATTTGGCATAAATTCCAGTTAGACAAATACTTACTTACAATTGCAAACAATATGCTGTCTACTCTGAAGCTTTATCAAATTCCACTTAGTGTCAAGGAGACGCTGTGTTAGTTTCCTCATGAATGTCTTCTTGAAACTGTCACAAGTCTGATGGATGAGGAATGAAGGCAGTCCTGCCAAGTTTGTGCTGTTTATTTCTCTGGCTAAATTTGAAAATGTGAAAGAGGCCTTTTTCTTGCATATTTTACAGCACTGCATCAGACAGTTGCTTTTCTTTTCCTCATAGGTTATTTTCGGTAGCGGTAACACTGAAGTCCATTATGTTTTTTAACTTGTTTCATGGGAATGCTAGCAAGTCCCAGCCATATATTCCTGGAGCGGACTACTACTGCAGTTGTAATGTCTTAGCAGAGGCATATGCCTTTTTTTGTCAAAGTAAATTTTGCTGTGGGCTGGAACAGGAAGAGGGCACGTAGTATTTCTGCACTCTGACAGGTTTGATATGTAGATAGTGGAACTGTTTAAAAGGAAACAGACATCCTTTGAAGTTTAGACAGAGGTCTCCGTAGAAAACATAGAGATAATATGATTGTAAATCTAATTACAGAAAGCTGCCTAGAAGGAATTTCAATCAGTTGGTCTATTTTCTTTCCAGTGCCATTTGATCAAATAGCCACACTGCCCGCTTAGAAGGATCTTCCTAATGAGGCATCCCCATGCCTGAAGAGTCTGCTATCTTGAAAGGTACCGTTTGCACTTGCTCAGCTTTCTGCCACAGAAATTGCTGGAAGAAAAGATACATTGGTGGTTTAAGATCATTCCTTATTATTTTTATTTTTGAGTACTTTTTATCAATTTTTTTTTTTTAATGAAAATTGATCCCAAAGCATGTTCTGCTTCCCAGACAAACATAGCAACAGTCTTACTGAAGTTAGTTGAACTAAATCAATTTTAAGCCGGTATTGCTGAGTGCAGTGATGTGAAATGTTTATAACAAAGTGTATCAAATCTCTTCATTTGTTGTGGCTTTTTTTTTCCCCCCCTCTCATGACCTGCAGAACTTTCTGCCCCTCAGTGCAACAAAGGCACACCTTTAAGAAAATCACAAAAATGGGCCGGCTTTGCTAATGCAAGGGACTGATGTAAGGGAAGGAGCAGCACGGCATCGTGGCAAAAAGTGACACTGCAGAGGGTTGGTGGACAAAGGGGTGAATATCAGAAATAGAAGGCAATTGGGGAAGGACCGCTGGGCATGGAGAATCATTTCCTTTAGTATTGAGGCCTGCTGCTTCTATGCAGCTGCACAGTTCTTCGTCATCTCTTTTTAGGTAAACGTTTTAAGCAAATCCTGAAGTGGCAGCACATCCTCTGCATATCCATGACAGCAACAATTAAAGAGGCTTGGCTGTTTCGGCAGTTACAAAACACTGCCCTAACAGGCTTGAGACCGACTTCTTCCTTCTGCAACGTGAAGCACAAGAAGCACAGAGGGGGCCTCCTGTTGTCACACAGTAGGTCTGCCAGTGCTCACCAGAAGACCTGGAAAGATCAGAGATGGTTCCTCTCTGTCACAGCTCAGTTTTTAATTTAATTGCATTTATTGACAGAAAATACTGGAATTTAGGGTGGTTTTCTGTGAAAGTTTATAACCTGGCTCCAGTGTTGGAACAAAGCACACATCAACTGATGAAATCTTCGACCACTTCTGATCTGACCTAGTGACTAACTGGAGGTTTACTTGGAAGGCTGAGGATTTTTATATCACGTTACCTTTTGAATATTTAATCATTCAGGAAATAAATCATATTGAATGCAACAGGAGAGAACAAGATTCAGTTTTTACTTTGTGTTTTCACTGTAGTTTAAAAAGTGGAAAGGCTGTCAACAGTTTCCTTCAGCCATTTATTCTCGGCTTAAAATCCCAGTTTATTCCGAGGAGCCTAAAAAGGCATTGATTTATCAAGCTCATATCCTTTTAATTCATAATCCAGCTGCTGTGAGCTGCTAACAGGCTTTTGAGTCAGGAAGCTCAGGAAATCATCAATGCCAATTACAGCTAAACAACTTAGGATTTTCTTTATATTTTTCCAGAGGCTTTAAGGATATGGTGCTACTTTTAGAGATGTAATTAAAACTGAAACAATGTAACCTGCATTTTTAGTGCTTTTTTCATTGACATATGCATATATTATTCTACTTTCATATATTATATATGCATAGAATGCTATGACTTACCTTATAATAGATTTCTTTTTTTTTTCTTTTAAATGCCTGCCTAGATTGGAAGCTTTTTCTTGCACATCCTCTAGATGGGAGCTCTTGATCTTATAGCAAACCCTGCTCTTAGGTGGAGGTCTGCAGCTCCTCTTTCCCAGCATCGTCCAGTTCTGGGCTGGTACAGGATTTCTTGCTGCTTGCATCCATGGCAGGCACTGTGAAGAAGCCACTGTAGGAAGGATACAACCCAGCAAGGGTGGGCATATTCCAGCACAACACTATGGGAGTAAGAGGTGTAATACATAATAACATTTTGAAAACAGCCATGGTACAGAGGATAGTGGTGCCAAATGAACCATTTTCAGAAGAATTCCAGTGCAGACCTGTGGAAAGCAGTAAATTTCAGTTCCACACCAGGAACATCTGAGACTTTAAGACCAAGTGGAGCAAAGCCACGTGAAATGACTCTTCATTGTTCCCCTAATGCAATCACCAGGCAGCCAATTTAAAATAGAGTGCCATTTCGTATGACACCTAACTTTGTCTCAGAAGCTTTCAAAGGCAGGACAGATTTAAAAGAAAAGAACAAGAGAAATTTGTTTGTGTAGAGTAAATTCATTTGTGAACATTTTACTCAGTGTCATGAATGCAAGCCTCAAAACAGGAAGATGATGAATTGTTGCTTATGGAAATTTTGGAGACTATAGCTGGACTCTGCCTGTGCTCTAAACACTCACTGCTTATTGGCAGAGAATGATTCAGGGCTAAAGTGACCTTTGGATATTGCCAAATTCATTCCTGTGTTCCCATACTTTAACAAAAAAATTGCCCCTTGACTACAAGCTCAAGACTCTCAAAGGCAGTTAAGTTGTTAACAGTGTCTGGTTGTAAAGGACACACTTCTGCAGT